ACTTTTCCACGATGTCGTCAACACTGTTGGTAGGATTTTGGTGTTTCAATGCATTAAATACATTTAATATAATAATCTTCTCATTCTGAGACAGCGCACATCTTTTCACGCGTTTAGCAGGTACGTAATCTGATAAGCTCGACATTTTACCCAAACAATATTATATCCACTGGCACAATAGTCACTAAACACAAGTCGAATTTTACTCTACTGCACTAGCACTTCTTCGAATATTCAGCTTTAAGACTGGATTGATCTGTCACAATACACTGGCTCCTGCCCTATGATGTATCTAGTAAAATATACTAATGTACACCCATTACCTGTTAGCATTAGTGTTACCCGATAATTACCTGAAACGAAATATTATCACGCCCATGGCCGGTTCTTATCTCGGGTTTTTATTACTCTCTTTCATTTACAGACAGACTATAACAGCTCAGTTAGAAACTAACACCTGGTGGGATTTGATTTGACATGTTATAGGAATACTATGCGCAATTAACTGCACATTACATGTTCCATGCAGAGAATACACAAAATGATTTTCTACCAGATTAAGAAGTAACTTGTAGTTTGACTTATTTTTGATTCGCCGTTTATTTTGGACCTGGGGTTTAGTTCTGAGTACATGAAATAAATATAAAAATCCTTTCTAGATGCCCTAAATTCGGACTATCACAACTTTCAAAATTCCCGAACAATAGATGTTGCTCCTGTGAAACCCCCATTCCAATCTCACTTCGTACAGATAAAGGTAAACTAAGACCATGCTTTTTTTCGTGCAAAATTAACAGTTTATCTTGAAGGTGCCAAATATAATCGACAAAACCACCCCGTTGAAAGAAGACGGTCGAGGCGTCGGTCAATCCTACCGATATTCTGGACCCAAAAAGCCCCCTTTCACCTACACAGAACTGATAGAGTACGCTCTCAGTGAAAAGGGAGAGCTGACTGTTTCGGGGATCTACCAGTGGATATCGTAAGTACTAATTTTCATTTGACAAATTAATCAATATTGATTGTTTGCTTAAGTACTAATTTTACAAAAGCTGACTGTCTGAAATTGACAACTTCGTTTGTGCACCTTTTGCGAATCTCGATTGCTCTCGAAAACGCCATCTAGTGGTGGTAAATATTGCGGAAGAACAGCGACATCAAAAGGAACAGCGACGGAAAGCGTTTTAATTCACCTTTATATAACCGCTGTATGGCTTTCAAAGAGATCTCTTATTTTATTTTAGTAAAATGTTAGTATGTATGTAAAATCATATTATCAATTGAAATAACTGCTAAAAATATCAAGCGACCCACCCTCTGACCGAATTAAATTGTAGTTAAAAAAGTAGATAAAATGTAAACAAATTTTTAACTGTTAAAAACTATTCTGCGGACAAATGTTCCTACCATCATTGAGTTATAAAGGCAATATCATTCGCTAGGATCATTCGTCAGAAGTGCCATCAGACATATACCGGTTTTGAACTTATTAGTTCTGATATTATGCAATGGATGAGACAAGCGACAAATGATGGCGATTAGATAAACTTTTGATAGCTTTAGTAGATTTTATGGTTTACGATTTTTTTAATAAAAAAATGTGTATAATTTTGTTAAAATTATACAAGGAAATTTTATTTTGACAATAATTTTAATAAAAAATAATTAATTTTGAATAGATTAGTTTGGTTAAGATAATTTCGAACTCCACTATTTTTTAAATTTTGTTAGAATTTGCTTAAAATGACCGTAAAAATTTAAGTGGTCATATTTTGATAACGAAGTGTGGAACTCCTACTGTTCTAGGGCATGGTTTCTAGACCCACATTGAAAACTTTCTTGACGAGGAAATAAAAAATTAATAATTTTTTTGATCAATCAGTACAAACAGGTGTTTTCTTATTTTTCACAATATTTTAATTTTTCTTAAACTTACAGCTTTATGAAGTTTGGAAATTGGAATGTTAACATGAAAATCAAATTTAAATATACCAGGTGTCTCAGTTGTATTGTTCCAATGACATATCTCCATTATTTAAAATAATTTGACATTTGGGGCATCTGATGTATATGCACCTATACTTCTCTAAATTGAGCCTAATATATTTTTTTTCACTTCCGATTTAACCGGAAACGATTAAATGACCCTGTGTTTTTTACTCAAAATTTGAATTCTACAAAAAATTCATTTTTCCGTGAAGTATTACACTTTATATTTAGACTTCAAAACAGATGTGAAATTGCATTTTTAATGTTTCCAAAATTGGGATTGTACAGGGTGTATCTAAATAATACCGAAAAAATGTAAGGGGCTATTCTCTGATGAAAATTAATAGTGGTCTTTAGAATAAAATTTTTTGAAAAAACTATCAACTAATATTTTCTACACAAAATCATAAAATTTGTGAAAGAGTAAGAAACGGTAACAATAAATGACATTAACATTTGTTTCTATGGATTCCATTGCGAAGAACAGGCCACTAGATCTTTTGGCAAAATACACTCGCGTTAAACAGCTCATCTTTTTAAAAATGCATTGCAATACATTTATTTTTTTCTCATAAATTCTTAACTTTTCGAAAAAACTTGAAGAGATCAAAAAGTTAGTAAGTGATTGGGACTTTTTAGACATATTTTTTAAAAGAAAAATAAAATATCGAATAAAAATTGTAAGAAAAATGTCATAGGGGTTGATTATTTCAACCCCTTACAAAAATGCTTCAGGGTTGAAAAAATTTCAAAAAGTGTAGTTTTTTTGACAGATAATGTTCACCAAATTTGGTTTCTTTAACTTGATATACATGGAAGATAAAAAGAAAAACAATTTTTTTTTTAATTTTTGCAGGCGCGTAACTTACTTTTCAAGGGAGTTTTTTTTCAGAAAATAGACCCCTATTAATTTTCATCAGAGATTCGCCCATACATTTTTCGGTGTTATTTAGATACACCCTGTATAAATCAAAGCGATTTACGAAAACTAAAGCAGGCTTCGAAATTATTTGAATAAATTTGATTGTTCACTTTGACAGTCACGAAGTGTTGAATTTGTATTAATAAGCTGCTTCGAAGAAGCAGAATGCGATCGATATCTCTCGTTCTTCTATTCAACGAATCCTAAAATCTGGCTAATTCAAACTTTTCAAAGTTTACCTGCATCAATGACAGAAAACTAGCGTTTCTTGCATGACTATCGAAGATGGCTTTATTAACTCAATATTATGGTCAGATGAAAGACGTTTTCATAATAATGGAACTGCTAATCGACCCAATTGCCATTATTGGCCTGTAGATAATCCTCATTGGATGATCGATGAGTACATTATCGAACCAAATTTTTATAAATCATTACAGAAATCTTGAAAATACAAGTTTTGGAAAGTGTATCTTTGCAACTTTGAAATTTAAATCCAAAATAATGCACAATATGCTTTTCATAATTTTCTATAATCCCAATTTTGGAAACATTTAAAATCACTTCTATTTTGAAGTCTAAATACTGTGTGATACTTCACGAAAAATATTTTTTTTTATAGAATTTAAATTTTAAGGAAAATATACAGGGTGTCATTTAAAATAAAAAAGTTACGGTCGTTTCCAGTTAAACCGGAAATGAAAAAAATTTTACATTGGGCCCAATTTAAAGAAGTTTAAGTATATCAGATGCCCCCAATTTCAAATTTATGGTTTTTTAAGTAATGGAGATATGCTATTGGAACAATACAACTGGTACTTATATCGCTCTGATTTTAACGCAGTAGGAATATGTGGCACGCCCTGAATGTTGACAATTTTGACAGAAAATAAATTCGGTTGTAAGAGGGAAATATAAAATGAGGCCACAATGAATCACGATTCATAATTCCTTAGAATCGTTAAGCTTTTGCGTCTAATTCAAAGAGATTTATAGAAGCTATATTACGTCCCCATTACGGGAAATGTGGAATGGAACGTGCCTTTGATTTTGCGTCGCATCTGCGTGCATAGGCGGGCACATTACAGTGACATACATAAATTAGGCGGTGGGGTCGCCATCGAAAGATGCCACTTGATCCCCGGATGACGTGGTCTTCGGTGCCAGCCGCCGAAGTCGCGGACCTGTGGAAGCGCCGCGATTTATGGAATCGTAAGAATTTTCCCAGGGAATCCGATCTGATGCGGATCACAGTTCCCCACTTTCGGGAGGGTCTAACATAAACAAAACAGAATGTCATCCTTCTTGGTTTACCTTCGTAAAACAGTGTGCTCCCTTTTTTATCATTTCTTCTTGTCAAAAATAAGTTTTAAAGGGTCGTTGCTTTTTTTTATTCCCATTCCAGTTTTTACCATCCAATCTTTGTAAGTATCAGACTATCTCTGACTGTTTTTTTAGAGTATGCATCTTTTATGACGGATTTAAATCTGGAATACGTGTTGGTCAGTCTAATTTAAGAATTAATGGTTTTTATTTCTTGCGTCATATGTGTTAAAATGTCTTTAATTTATTGAAACGAGGAATACGCGATATTGCAACGGTAGTACCACCGCCTCAGGGAATATCAACGACGATATCCGAACCGCTGTCTTCCAGACAAGCAAACGTTCAATAGAACCTCCGATTAACAGGTGCGTTCCCTAAACCGACTTGTGAAAGAGAAGTTATGCGAAAAAACAAGCTGCAGAAGTGCTTGAGCTTGTTAAAAATGATCCTGGTATTAGTACGAGATTACGAGAGGAATTTCTGTGCTTACTGGACAAATTCGGGCGAGAAAACGAATTCATCCCTATCATTACTAACCGATACAAGAGCTTTTCCCCACAGATCCTCCCCAAAGAATTCGTCTTTGTGAATGGCGGAGCAATCATCTGGATACTCTTTCAAGAACCGTTTTCTGTGACGAAGCTATATTTACAAGATTCAGTTCATCAATTTCCACAACAATCATGTGTGGGAAAACCCTCATGCTATTCGAGAAACTCATTTTCAGAGAATATTCTTCGTAAACGTTTGGTCTGGATTAATTAATAATGAAGTAATCGGACCACATTTCTTCGACGTAGATTTGAACAGCGAAATGTACCGAGCTTTTTTGGAAAACGATCTACTAATACGGGACATTTCTCTTCAAATCAGAAGGACGATGTTCTTTTTACATGCTGGTGCTCCGTTCCATTATGGAAAGGGTGTCATTAATTTCCTCATTGCCCAAATGCATGGATAGGTCGTGGTGGTCACTTGGCCATCGCGGTCTCCGGATCTCAACCCCTTGTACTTTTTCATGTGGGGACATGTGAAGACACTTACCAATGCAATGCGAAAGCCTAACTGCAGAGACCAACTCATTGAGAAGATTCGTACAGCGTTGGATGAGGTGAAAAACAATATGGAGAACTACAACTGGGTACGAGAGCTTCGACAGAGGATTGAGTTATGCATTGCACAAGGGAGTGGTCACATTGCGCAGCTTTAATAATTACACTGTCATTACGCTTTTATTTATTTTAGCCTTCTAATCCGAAGGGTGAAAAGTGTTTAGAAGTTGAAGGAAGACATTGTGAATATTTAATAAAATATATTTGACAATTAAAAACCTGTGACAGTTGTCATGTTGATTGTTACTTACTTGTCACGGCCAACCTAAAATGTGCGAAACAAATGGAAACGCCATTTTAGGAAAAAGGAAATGTTTATTCGTAAATGACCCCGCACAAAATTAATGGAAATTGAGTCCCGCTAGATTTGGCTGAAATTGTAATATGTTATAGTTCTCGACATTCTGATGAAAAGTTGTCACGGGCCCAAAGTGATCCTATGGATAGTTTCAGAGATATAAAGGGGGGAAGTGTGTGATTTTGGCTGTAGGACTGAGTAGGCTTCACGAAGTTTCAAGTTGATGCATTCAAATACTGAAGCATGTAATGAATTTTGACCAGTAGGTACAATGCTTTTGGGATCGCTGAACCTGAATTATTGGATAGCTTAGCTATTTAAGGTCACCTGGAGAT